TTTCCTTGCTTATGTAAAATGAATACAGTCACAATAGCACCTACTTCACAGGCTGGTGTTGAGGGTGTAGTGAAATGGTGCCTGCGAAGCCTCAGTCATAGTCTTTAGCGCAACGGTTCTCAACCTGTAGGTTGCGACCACTTTGGGGGTCGAACGACCCTTTCACGGGGGTTGCCTAAGACCATTGGAAAACACATATATAATTACATATTGTTTTTGTGATTAATCACTATACTTTAATTATGTTCAAATTATAACAATGAAAATACATCATGCATATCAGATATTTACATTATGATTCATAACAGTAGCAAAATTACAGTTATGAAGTAGCAACAAAAATAATTTTATGGTTGGGGTCACCACAACATGAGGAACTGTATTAAAGGGTCGTGGCATTAGGAAGGTTGAGAACCACTGATCTAAAGGCATGTGGCTGATGTTATCACAGTCACCACTAGTTCCAACATTTTCATTATAGAATTAACTTTCTCTGATCTTAAAAAGGCCTCTCTATAAGGAATAATATAAGCCTATAATAGAGCTCTAATTAAAAGATATGTATATTAATACATTCTTCCCACACTAATAATTTTTAACATGTGGAAATAGGTTTTTTTGTGGGGTAGGATTGTTGTTGTTAATCCTCACCCGAGGATATTTTTCCATTGATTTTTAGAGAGAGTGGGAGAGACAGAGAGAGAGAAACATGGATGTGAGAGAGACATATCAATTGGTTGCCTCCTGCAAGCACCCGACCAGAGCTGGGATTGAGCCTGCAACCAAGGTACGGTGACTGGAATCGAAGCCTCGAACCCAGGACCCTTCAGTCCATGGATCAATGCTCTATCCACTGAGCCAAACTGGCTAGGACTGGAAGGAGATCTTAATGAACTGGGTGTGTCTGGTTATGTACATATAAAAAAGAACATAGAGCTATTCAGCAGAGAGAGATTGGCAACTGAACTAATTTTATAGAGAAAAACAGGCAAGTGAGCAAGAGTCTTAGTGGAAAGAGTTTGAGATAATAAATGTGTTAGGTGCTGACAACTCTATAGTTTTCATCTTTCTCTTTCCACTTTCGGCCCTTGGGCTCTAAGAAAACGTTTAATATCCTAACAATACTAGTACATTCCCCATTTTTGCTTGAAGTAGCTCAAGCAGATTATTATTACTTGTTATCAAATGAACCTCTTCTAAGATAAGTTCTGAATGACCTTTACGTTTGATTTGGTTACATGGCCATAAACACACAATCCAACATTAAGTGTGTTCTTTACACTCAGTATGAAGCCTTTTAAGAATTGTTAGTATGAAGTTAAACTACTTCAATAGTAAAATATTTTTACACACAGTAGCCCCGCTCCTCCCCTCAAAAAAAAACCTAACAGTAAAGAATGTTTTTCAATGTTTTATTTGGTTTGAGGCTGGGTCGGAATTGGGAAAACTGACCTATAAAATGAATCTAGGTAACATACAGGGTTACTGAAGTCTTTATGGAGATGTGGCCTAGAGGAATCTCAAGAATCCTCTGATAATTTTGAAAGATGGATGTATATTTAGCACTGCATAAAAATCCTAGATTCATAGGAAAATTGAAACCAGGGACATCAATTTTTACAATCAATGCAAGATTTCATCCTAAGTGTCTTAAGGTCCTGGCAGACTTCACAACTGCCTGTGGCCATGTCCCTCTGCTTGTCCAAGAACTCGGGTAGATGTGCACCATATGTTCAGCTCATTACCAAGTCAGGCCTACAAGTCTATTTTGGAAGCACATCATTAACCATGGGATACTTTTTCTTTTTTTTTCAAATCACAGCATATGTCTTAATACAAGGAAGGAATTCTAAAATATTGGAATAATGGAGTATTGGCTTAATTTCAGCAAAGCCAAAGAAAATATAACTAGGAAAAAGCCTAATCATATTAATATGTAAGTACAGAAATCAGTGTCCACTTCCATTCTCAGAGCTAATAGTGATGTTATATAAAACCTTTACATTAAATAAAGTGTTCTCAAATTACCTGCACATGTTAGACTCAAATAAACGTGACTTTATTTTCTTTCCCCCAACATTTGAATGAAAGATTAGAAAAATTCTTTAGAGGACAAAGATTAGAGTTTACATTTTCCCAATATGAAAAGTAAATTTAAGTGGTGAAAGAATTGGCAAAAATAAATAATTAAAAATCCAAATTTATAAACATGGCTTTGTAATTAAATCCTTTTCTTAAAAAAGATCAGATTGCTTTAATCTTATACTCTCATATTTGGACTTAAATAATTTTCATCTTTATGGAAACTAATATGAAATCTAAAATTTTAAGGCATGACAATGGATTGTGTTTTTCTTCTAATGATAGTAATTATTTGCCTTTAGTAATTATCTCTACTGCTAGTTGCAGGAATCTCTCCAAAATCTATAGCCTTGGGTATTACTTAAGGAAATTATGTTAACACACAGTTCTGATTTTAATTTAATTATTTTTATTCATAACCACATTTTTCATTTGAAGTTATGTTAATTCTAAGAATGTGACTTTGAAAGATGTTCTGACTGCATATGTGGAGAAAAGCTTTCTTTAATTTGATATCACAATGTTCAATCTCTGACATACGTTATGAAAACCACTAGAGGCCCAGTGCATGAATTCATGCACCAGTGGGGTCCCTCAGCCTGGCCTGCTGCCACTCGCAATCTGGGACCCCTCAAAAGATGTAGTAGTGGGGCCAGGTTCTGCGCCACTCCTGCTCATGCGGGCCCCACTTCTCCTGCCGCAGCTCAGTAGCGCGCGGCCCTGAAGGCAGAGAGGCTCGCACTGCCACAGCTGCACTCGCCAGCTGTGAGCCCAGCATCTGATGTCTGTCAGTCAGCTGAGCAGAGCTCCTGCTCAGCTCCTGCATTTGGCATCTGTCCCCTGGTGGTCAGTGTGTGTCATAGCAACCAGTCTACCAGCCTTTTGGTCCTTTGGTCACTTAGGCTTTTATATACATAGATTACCCATTTGAAACCAATAAGGCCTCCCTTACCTCGGATTCCAGCTGCAAAGATATGTGGTATAATGCTCACTTAGATTAGGGACTTATTTTGCAAAATAAAGTTAATTATAGATAAAAGAATCCAAGGCCCAAAAAAATTAAACTGACCCCAAACATATATATATATTTGAAGCAATACCAAAGTTCTGGAGACAGTTCTGATTTTTTTATATATACAGGAAATGTCCACCTGACCATTCTACCACTTAAAAAAGGCTTAGTCATTTATCCATCCAAAGGACATCCTGGCTCCTGGTTGACAGCATCACCTTGGATATGGGAGGAGACAGGGCTGATGAACTAGTTGAATGCAATTTCATGAATTCAGTTTAATGATAATGAAACTTAATAATGCTGACATCCCTCTTTAGCCATCCTCCCTTCAGTCCATCTGGCCCTCATTCAATGGGTCTGCTTCTGCTCAGAAAATCTGAATATCCTAGAAGCCCTACATGCCAGAGCCCGCTGGAACCACATAAGATTTCATAAAACATCTTGAAAATCCATATCCATATTTCATCTGAGAACAGATCCTATGCTAATCTCAAAGCTCTAAAATTGCCCAAAAAATGAAACAATAACTAACATCTTTTCCAATAATCTCCTTTATCTTAACAATGTGTTTATGAAATAATAGCAAATATAATATTCTGTTCATTTTTACAGATAGAAATAGGCAGAGACACAAATTAAGAAACTTGCCTGTTTTTGTTACCTAAATTACATTAGCATAAGTTCTAGCATCCTTTTTCTAACTCATTTGGTCTAATTCAGAACACATTATTTTCAGCTCTTGTGTGTAGTTGAAACTGTACTTCACATTGGTTGCTGTGTGTGTCCCCACAACTTAAACAATGACCCAAAGTATACTGTCCTCTGATTTCTCACAGTTCACAATGAATCTCTGAGTTTCCCAGGGCACTTGCCTTATAAAAAGAATTGAACAATGAACAAACAAAAAATAAACAAACCTATTTTGTTATATAATTTAATATAGTTTTCTGAAAAACTCACTTTATTGAAGTCAGCATGTATTTAACCTATTATGTTCATTTTCAATCATTCATTTTTTTTTCCTTTTGAAAATTGAACTCATAATTTGGGACTTGGCTATGGTGCTTCTTCTTGAAACTTAGGTACTAACAGCTGAGACCTAAAGGGTCTTATTCACTCAAGCAAGGTATGTCTTAGAGTCAAATGTTCTTTGTTATAGTTTACAATTAAGTATTGCCTGTTGGAGAAAAGTCCACACGCTGGGCAATTTCATACAATTCACCAAAGAATGCAAATAAGTCCTCCTACAGAATGATAAGGATGGTCACAATAAAGAAGCTCTACTCAGTTACTGAGTACCAATTTTGTGATGAGTGCTGTAAAACATTTTGAATTTTTAATTATTTGAAATCAATCCAATTATATGATTTCTTTGGCCAAACATTGAGAGGATATCCTTGATAGTTTCAAGTTGTGAAAACTCCACACTCACACTATTTTAACTTGGCTCTTGGAAGCTACAAATGTGTAGAAGTTAATTATTCTGGTAAAATGACAACCTGGTTGAGATAGATAAGTAGTTCTCAAATTCAAATGTGCATCAGAAGCACCCGGAGGGCCTAACAAACAAAACTTGCTGAATCAGTTTTGTTTGGTTGTAATAAGTCTAAGTGGAGCCTGAAAACTTACATTCCTAATAAATTCTCAGGGACCATACTTTGACACTCATTGAGACAAAAGACACGTACTACTATAAACTTTTAAGAAAACTCAGGAAAAAAATAGTGAAATAACATTTTTATAATAGAATTTAGGTGACCTATCTAAAATTTAAGGTTGCTAGAAAAAATGCAGGATTCCCAGTTACATTTGAATTTTAGATAAACCACAAATTCATTATTAGTATAAGCGTATTCCATATATTGCATGAAACATACTCACACAAAGAAATGGTCATTGCTTATCTGGAATTCAAATTTAACTGTATATCTGTATTACAACTTCAGCTTATATAGGGCTATTAGCAATTTGTTCCTTGGTTGTGAAGACATACACCTCTAAACTAGGAGGATCACATGATGTTTTTCTCCATTGCTTTTGCGTGTACCTTAATTTTGCACTTACCTTTGCATATGATAGAAATGACTTTGAAGCCTCAGAGAGGTGTGAGGCTTCTTTGACTTTCGCTGCTAAGAAAGGACTTGGACAAAAGGACTTAGCACTTTTTGAGGGAGAGTTGTTCATACACTCCACTGGAAAATGCTCAGGGGCGTGTGTTGATTCCTCAAAACTGTTAAATGTGGAGAAGAAACAAAAATCTAGAGTTGGAGCCCTGACTGGTTTGACTCAGTGGATAGAGCGTCAGCCTGCAGACTGAAAGGTCCCAGGTTCAATTCTGGTCAAGGGCATGTAACTTGATTGCGGGCACATCCCCTGTAGGAGGTGTGCAGGAGGCACCTGATCAATGTTTCTTTCTCATCGATGTTTCTAACTCTCTATCCCTCTCCTTTCCTCTCTGTAAAAAATCAATAAAATGTATTTTTAAATTTTTTTTAAAAAATCTAGAGTTGGAGAATTCCACTCACCAGAAATGTTCCGCAAGAATTTTGTATCACACACACGAAAATAAAAGACCCCAGTTTTCCGTGGTTCTCCGTATCAGGAGACATGAAGCTGTGTGGTTCCTCCAGGTCTCCTAAGGCACTGGCAGTGCTAGATAACTGGAGTGGAAGGGAGAAGAATAAATCAGGAAAGGAATAAATAAATCAGGAAAGAGAGAGAGAGAGAGAGAGAGAGAGAGAGAGAGAGAGAGAGAGAGGAGAGAGAGAACAAAAGATTTTTTTTCTTTGTGGTTTCTGTGAATATGAAACTGGAGAAAAGCAAAACATTCTGGGGAGCTTTCTGTGGGACATATCATGGAAAACCACAGGCAGCTCCTTTTAATAAAACCAGTTGCAATCATGAACGTTATACATTCCATTTGCCATCCTTTTCTTCTTTATATATGATCTCAGCCAGAATCCATCCTAGATTTATTTAGGGCAGAAGTCAATTATATTTGTTCATAGTAGGTTGGGGAGTAGTGATTATCAAGGATTTTGCGTCTCAATCTCCTCACTCTGCAGTAACTTGAATTAAATGAAACAGGTGTTAAACTTTGTTGTACATTGGAATCACAGGAGAACTTTTAAAAAATATATCAATCCTTCATCCTTAAAGATAATTATTCCATTGGTCTAAGTGGGACCTGCACAACCAAGGTCTAGAACCAATGGATTTAAATTATCAGCCCAAGAGTATGCTTTCAGCATAACCATCAAACTGTTGGGATAATATAACAAGAGTGGGATCCAGGTAAGCCCCATAGTGATTACTGGAATAACAGAAGCAACTCAAAGGAATATCATAGAGACCACACTGAAGTTGGGGAATGCTGTCAGAACTGTGGGACTAGCCATAAAACCAAACCTAGGCAGTAGTATGTGATTTTTTACTAAGTTTAGAGATCTATAGAAAATTCCCCATGGAAGCTCAAACTGGAATTTTGTCTAATTGTTTGTCCAACCTCCATGGTACCTGGTTTCTGTAAAAACTGGGTGGCGAAAACAGATTAATTTCTGATTTACTTAGAGTCTTCTACTAGTTCCACCAGCTACACTGGGTTCCCAGGGTTAGTCACAATGCAGGGTCTAGAATTAAGGAGACCTTGAACCTTCTAAGATGGACTGAATACAGTCATAAAACTGATCAATTCATGTATAGTACTGTGCCAGAAGCAAGAGGAAAAAAACCTTGAACTGTGTTATAACACATAGAAACAGCACCGAGATGGGTAGATTTAAAAGCCAAGATGGGCTGCCATTTAAGTGAAAGGCCATGCACTGAGAGTTCATATGGATTCAAAGCCTTGAAGATAACTATCTCTGTGCAGGATCCTCTTACTGTTCTCAAAGGGGGTTATGGTCAGAAAGTTCAAGAATTCATATCCTTGTGCATTAAGTGTGAAAAATATATTTCTGCCTGGCTGGTGTAGCTCAGTGGTTAAGTGTCAACCTGTGAACCAGATCATGGTTTGATTTCCAGTCAGGGCACATTTTGAGGTGGTGGCTGGATTTCCTGGAGGGGGTTGGGGGCGGGGGAGGATGGACATGAAGGAGGCAGCCAATCAATGATTCTCTCTCATCATTGATGTTTTTATCTTTCACTCCCCCTTCCTCTTGGAAATCAATAAAAATATATTTTAAAAATACATATACTCTGTCTTCAAGTTCAGAGTAGAAGAACAATTCTATGAAGCTCTCTATTCCAGATCAGTGAAAAAGACTTGGAGTCTCAGAGGTTTAGTTCATACAAGGGAGATTGGCACACAGAAAATAACAATATTAATTGCATGGTCACCCTACACAGGTCCCAAAATTTTAATTGATAATAAAGTCAACTAGGGAAGAGGACAAAAGGGATTTAATCAGACATCAAAGAGAACTGACCAATGGAAACCAGGTCTAAAACACTGTGGTATTTGGGGGGAAAAGGAAGTAAAACAAGTATATGCCTTGAAGACAAAAGCCCAACAAGCAGGTCCCAGTGCATGGGTATAAAAATTGTATCCCTATCTTGATTGAAGATTTCTCGCAGATTTGCTTCTAGTATGCATGGCATAGTGGTATGTATGCTACATTACTGCCCTGTTCATCCTCTTATCTCTTAAAACTTTTCAATATCCAACATGCATGGGATATAACCTGAACTTCCAACAGCTTGACTTTGCTAGCGACAAAAACATCTAGTGTTTTATTTATCCAACTCATTTGTTTCTGCTATAACCAAAAACATCAATGTTGGAAGAGAGGAACTTGACTCACTGAGTATTCTCTACCCCTCAGATCTAAGATTTGAACATAGAAATTTAAAGACCATAGCATGACCATGGCACTATCTCCAAAATCCTTAAGAGAAATTATGTTCACCTGCAGGAGAAGAACCATGGGTGTGTGTGTTGTGGGGGGGGGGAGGGGCAGAATATACTCTAATTAAAAGGAGTCCAAAGTAATCCAAAGAAATATTATTCTTCTTGGTATGGAAGATCTCAGAGATGGATTTATGAAACATTAAAATGAATAGAGCATTGTATGCTCCATGAGAATTTCCCATGAGAAAGTAACCAAAATAAGCATATAACTCTCTGTACCATTGAACATGGAGTCACCTGGTCCTCCAGCCATCTGAGATAGTTCAGCACATCAGGGTGTTAGGAGCATGAATCCCAATGGCCATTTGTGGCTAGAAAATTATGCAATATGACAGGGTTTGTGGAGGGTTGGAAGGGGAAAAGGAAATGAATTAGTTAAACATGAGAAAATCAGATTTGTAGCTACTGTCTTTTGTAG